CTTCCCTCTTGAGCATCTCAACCCTCTCCCCATCCCCTCTTCCTTTTTCGGTTGCATCAAAATTGCTTTCCCCATCAAGATACCCATTTGCATGACCATTTGTTGCTTCAGGTTGCCAAATAGTGACTGGCGATGATTTGCCATTGGGGCTCACATGTCCCACACAGTGATCTGCAATTGCCTTCCGAAGCCTTTGAATTTCTCTCTCGGAATCAAAAAAGTCCCTGTTTGCTGAATCAAGTTGTGACTGCAGATGGGTTGAATGTGCCAGCTGAGCATTCAGTGAATTCTGCAGTTCTACAATCTGATCCTGCATCTCTAGTATCATGTCATCTCTTCTCTTTAATTGTTGCCTTAGTTTTTGTATTACATCCCGCTTACTGAAGATGTCAGAGCCAGACTCTGAAACACATGGAGAATCTGAGCAGTTTGAATAGTGGAGGAATGGCTTTGGAGGCAACTCAAGGCGATCAGGAGAAGATGCCCAGACAATGCCATTCTCCTTGTTAAATTCAGGGGTGGGAACTGTAACTAGAGGCAGAGCTCCATCAGATTCACTCAGCATCTGGCCATTGGGCAGGCACTTCATCTCCATCATGGCCTCAGTTCCTATTTCAAATCCAGTACAAATATGAAACAACGAGATTATCATCATAAAAAACGGACTGTCAAATTTTTTATCATGCTATGGCTCATCCAGACTCCAAAGAAGTGAAACTATGCAATGAGGAAGAAAGTAATGGGCCAAGGTAACTTCCCAGTCAACGAGGTCTTTGAATGAGAAGACCACATAAGATTGTACTAAAAGAATCTGGGAAATTATCTAGTGAATGGTATCACTAACTACATTATGTTTAAAGTTAGTAAAAGTAAGAGAAAACCGCAAATAGATTGCAACAAGTATAATACAATTCAAATCAAGCTCAACTAGCATCAATCCTAATACAGATAGTTGTTTCCCAATAAGACTGCTCATACAGATAATTAACTTCTAGGTCAAGCAAAAATCTAGAACACTTTTTAAGTTTTTCAGTCTTGCTCTTTGGAGAAAATTCAACTGCTGTCATTTGCAAATAAACCAAGTTAGAATAGGGTGCAGCTTTCAAAAACTGAACACTCAGTTCCTCGTTATCTTATTTTCTCAATATAGTTGTACGTGTCATCATATATCATACAAGCTCCAACACCCTAAGGGGCAATGAAGGTGATCAACCATCAGACCAAAACTAATTTTGAGTCCTGAACAGAAACTAACAGGTTTAACTCTCAGAAATTTTCGAGAAAAGATGAAGTATTAATCATACCTGACATGCAATTAAAGCAACTGCCATCACTTTGTTGTGTAAAGGAATAAACATTTGAGTGCACACGGCACTTCCTTCTGTCAGAGGATTTTCCACTTCCTAAAGTTGATCACAATGTCAAAAGTTAGAAACAGGCAGTTTGAAGAAATAAAGTTATACATATTAAAAGACAATTCAAACCATTACTAGCATTCTCCTGGTGCTTTGTGTCAAGTGCTTGCTTCAGCTTGTAACCAAGACGAATTGACAGTGTACTTAACAAGGCACCACCAGCAATAAGAAGCCAATTAGGTCCATCGCCCTGAAAAGGTTTGGACTTCTGAGCTCTGGGTACAGCAGTTGTTTTTGGTTTCATTTTAAGAGCTAGTGTAGCGTCGAAGGAAAAAATTCTGAATCATCCAAGAATGACCTATATCAACAATACACCAAAAGTCCATCCTATCCATATGAAAGACATCTTAGGTCAAACTGAATCAAGAAAGAGAACATAAATCGATTTTCAGAAGAAAAATAAAATCACTGCTGCATGAATACCAACCAAAACAAATCAAAATACAGTAAGCTCCAAGATTTGGACATGGAGCAATTAGAATTACTAAGATGGCTGGAAGTAGAATTATATATATATATATATATATATATAGAGAGAGAGAGAGAGAGAGAGAGAGAGAGTCCAGATGACTGGAGGCTCCGATCGTCCAAATGCATACACCGATTGATCGTGACTATAATGATAGTCAAATGCACCCGTTTAGAGCTTAGAGTTTAGGTTTCAAGTTTTAAGTCTTGGACTTTGGACGTTATCTAGGACCTTGGCTTGGGAATTAAAACCTAAACCCTAAGCCTCAAACGGTTTCCACACGCTAAAATTAGCCAGCATTATCAGCCAGGCGTCCGGAATTTTTAAAAAAATCCCAAGGGTTCTGGTAGAGATATATTTTCTGTGGAGTACAATAAAACAATCCCAAGGGTTCTCTATTTTCTTTTTACAAAGAAGACGCAGAGAGATTAGTGGTTATATTTGAAGAAAGAAAAAAAATATGCACAGAGATAACTATCATTCGAAGCAAAAGAAACCTACCTCGCTTATGCGATTCGTGCATTCATGGTAGCCATTAGGGTTTCTGATATTCGCTCATTCGATTCGAAAAATTAGAGAACTGACTGAGTCACTCGGTCGTTTAACCCTTTTTCCGCTTTCCCTCTTTAGAACCACAACAAAAGAAAATGCAGATTACAGACTTGTAAGTGAGGGTTTTGAAATGGCGGCTTTTACATATTTATTTCTAAAAGTAATTATCTATGGTTTCTATTTTATTTTATTTTTCTTTCGACAAACGGGGACGTGACTGCAAAACGATTTACGCCACGTCACCCATTCATCTCCGGGATTGGGAACTTGGAGCTACAAAATTTTCTGAAAATTCCCATAGAAATAGGAGACTTCTTTTTCTACACAGAAAAACATAAATTTGTAGAGAATAATATAATTTGAAGAGAATTTCTTATGGATAATCAATAAATTTCTACCCTAATTTCGCTAATCAAGTTTAGCTAAAACTACCGACGAGCATATGTGAGTTAAATTAGTTGACCAAAGCTGTGTGTTCTCTTTGCACTCAAATTTTTATGAGTAATCTAGAATATTGTTTTATTAAAAACTCACTTTATTATTGTAGCCTAAATTCCAAATATTTAAATTAAGCAATTTAATATGGTATATTAAAGGAAAAAATAGCAGTTCCCTATCATAATAATGCGGTAAATTGCCGATGAAGGAATATGATTTTTAATTTCTAAACAAGGAAGTGCACCTGCCGAACGGGGTGGACGGAGTTTACTTCTTCTCTCGAGTACAAACAAAAACAAAAGAGTTTGTTTCTTCTTTTCATAAGAGTAACTCCAGCGGCATGACAGGGCCTCGGGCTGGGGGAAAAAAAATGCCAAAATCCGTTTCCAGCGAGGAGCCCAAGCCCATGCACAAGGTGGGATCCAGCAATCTGGGCTGGCTCGAGGGCAAGGTTGACCCGAGCTCTAGCCCTCGTTTTGGTGCTGACGTCAGCTCTACAGTGCCGCTACAATGCTCATGTGCTACAGTGCTGTTAAAGTCCACGTGTTGTGCTCTGAGCTCTCCAATCATATTTTTTTCTCCAATCCAACGGCAGCCAATTTTTGTGCAGTAAAAAAATGAAAAAAAATATATTAAAATATACAAAAAAATTAATGCTTTTTTAATTTTATCCGATTGAGATATGAATTTTATAATAAATATTGACACGTACGAACCCGAAAATATTATCCAAATTAATTGTTTAGGTAAACAATTTTGTGAAAAAAAACAAAAAAATAAATAGTAATTGTCTTTTGTCATGGCAACGGGTGGAAACAAACAATACTATTTGCAAGGGCAACCACTATTCACGTGAATAGTGGCTGCCCTATCTCCCCCCTTGCCATGACAAAGGGCAAATGGATAGAGTTGCTCTAAAAAACAAGTGTGGGTGTCAATGGGGTATAACCCAGTGAAAAAGAACTTTGATTACTAGTAGTCTCGGATTCGAAGTTCCATGACCAGTAGAGAATTCAGGATTATAACTTCAAGTCAAGGGGTCATCATAAAAAAGTTATAATTTTTTTTTAAAGATGAACATGACACTAAACAATAGAAAGATAGTTCATAACAAAAATAACAATATAAATCGAGCAGAACAATCTTTAACTAAAAGTTCCCATACCAAACTGTGTACATACTAGAACAGCTCACATAGATATTTCAGGGGACAAAAGCATGTGCACTTCCTGATAGTTTGTTACATGAATTCAAAATTTTGATACTCTAATAAGTATATGATGATTTTATTTCATTTATTACCTAAAAAGAACTTGAAGTAATGGAAAAAATAAAATAAAAAGAAACACAACTCTGCCCAGACAGTTTAAAAAATATATATTACCAAACCAGTGTTATTAATTGTTTCATTTTTTGCCCGCGTTTTCCATTTTCACAAAGCGGGGAATTAAACCGGCAGATTGTCAAAATTGGTGGATTCAAACAATTATGCGCAGCTTGGTTCGATTTTCTCCAATGATAAAGTTAGATGTTTTCAAAATCAAACTAAAATGTATTGGTTTGGTTTGGACGATTTGGTAATCTATAAACCGCTATAAACCGAACCGAATTAAACTATCTATTTATTATTTTGTTTTTTAATTTGTATTTATTTGCAATTTTCGGATTGCAATAACTAAAATTACATGGTCTCAAATTTTATACGTACCTACATGCAAATATTGGATTGCAACTAATAACTGATATCATTAAATTGTTAGTTTGTTATTTTGATGGAATGATGAATTTTAGCATGTTAGAGATTTAGAAATTAGAAAAAGAAGGTGATTTTATATTGTAAAATGGAAAATACGTTAGCTGGCTCTAGAGTTGGGCAAACTAAATAGAAAAAGAAACAAATGAACAGGATTGTTGAGGTTAGATCTAAACTGCTAAACTAAACCACACAACAATGGTTTGTTTGATTCGTTTTCATCCGTAATTTTAGTTAAAATACCAAACCAAACCAACCAGTGGCAGTTATATGGTAATTGGTTTGGTCATATTAATTTCTCCTTGTTTTGCCTTTGCTTTACCTTTTTGTTTAGCACAAGATATACTAAAGAAAGAGGAAATTGAAAATTATATTGTAGCCTACTTAACTCCTTCATATGCACATTTCTTTTTCATGTGGTCACTCAATCATGTGTCATCTTACCAACATCAAAACGATGGGCACTCTCTTGGATGCCGCATATCTCAACTCTTAGGTCTCAAAACATATGAAAGCATATTTGAACCCAGTACCAACCTCATATTTAATTATAACATTAGTAACCGAAAGTATTAATTAAGGGGAAAATTATGAGCCAACCAAACTTATATAACTTGTCACAGGCCAAAGGCGACTCTCTGCACAGAGTCACGACGTTTTTTGCTGGGCATCCGAATGAGGCCTGTAATTTGTAGTTCGGTAATTGCCCTGCAAAATCGGGCTCTGTGAAAAGCAAAGTTAAGGATCCAACAAAAAGGGAAAAAAGAAAAGCAAAGTTAATGATCTTGATGCACATCCGACTTTTTAATTTTAGGCAGTAATTCAATGAGGGAAAAACAAGAAGGAAAACACAATGCTTGATGCAGGCAGATGTAATGAACGATATGCACCTATAACACAGCAAAACCACGGGGACTTCATCAATTCTCTGACTCGAAACTTGGTTTGTAACTAGTAATTTGATCTTTGCATACAACTTGGGAAGATGGTCAACTCACAGAAAACGAAGATGTGCACTGTGCAGTATGAAAAAACAAAAGGATACTGAATAGATGCTTCGCTCTTGTTTTCAGATTCATTCACGTCCTTTCGTCTTTTCGGTAGTGGGGACTGCTTCAACTTGCACTCCCCTTTCCTACTGGGCTGACTGGCAATTGTTTTGAAAGACTGGAACCAGTCATGAAGATTGATAAGATCGCCGTGCTCTTGAGCCAAGGTATACCTACAAGATAAAATTAACGTAATAAACTCAACCTTAAAGTAGCGGCCACTGCAGACTTCGAACTATGATCAGAAGTAGACAGCTAGAATGAAGCAAATTACTCATCTACAGTGTTTTAAGTCACATTGGTATATCACATTGGAATTATGATCAATTACCAGCTACTGATCTTATGATTTAAACCTATCTTGTATTGTACGCCCTTACTGGTAATGGATAACCAAAATTCTATCTATTATCTAATATTTGGTCTCTTGATCATCCACAAAGGCAATTCGAAAAAAATATTACCCAGAGATAATAAGTTATTCTTTGTTAGAAAAGAAACTTTCGGAAGAAAATATATTTTAACGTCCAAACAGGAATGGGAAAAAAAATGAAAGATCTCCAAAAACACAATGATATTAAACCAGAAGACAATTTGATTTTGCGTCTAATAATGAAGGCAAAATCCCTCCAAGTCTAGACCACTAAGTAATTGAATAGAAAGCCAACGCATCTTACCATCAGTTTTAAGAAAGTACAGTGCAAACTTGAATTGGGACTTCTATTAGCCTCCATCAGCGTTAAACAATTTCAATATTATAGCTACGGTTATACTCACACAATTGAGGTATCGGGCATGGATGACAATGGAATGTTGCCACTCCTGCTGCAGCAACTGCATCGTAGGATTTTATGGAACTCCAAAAGATCCACTTGAATCCTCTTTCTTGAATCTCCAATCAAAGCCTGAAATAAGTGTGAAGTTAAGAACAGAAAGGAGATTTATTGAGTTTCAGGATTCAGTTACAAAACTTTCATAAGTGGCGGGCATGCTAATCAACTAATCTGATAAAAGTAGCCTGTCAAAACATTAAATATCAAACATCCAAGAGTTTGCTTGATTAATTATAGGTAGTAATAAAATCCTATACAGATTTCATGATAAGTTGCTGGTATATGTAAATTAGTCAGAGCAGCCATTGCAATGCTTACCGATTGAAGTTTTTCAACATTTCTAAAGCAAACAATTTCGTGACATTGTATGCACTCAATCGGCCTCATGAAATACCTGTCATGGAGAAATAAAAATAAAATATAAAAAGGAAAAGATATTAACCCAGGATGCTTTTCAATAACCATATTAAGCTGTAAAATCATACGAGATAATAGGTATTAAGAAACTCCATTTCATTTGAATGAAGGTGATCTTACACAAAAGGAGTCATGTGTGTTTGCCAAAACCTTAACACTGCGAACAGAGAAGTCAATAGACTCAATACTTCAAGGATGCATGAGAAGTTGTTCATTCTAAATCTTTCAAGAGGAAAAGTTAAATTCACAAAATTCTTTGCTGTAAAAAGAAGCATTTCATTACTAATTATGTTGTTACTGATTAATATGTAGACTTAAAGACCCACTTTTAGAATTATTAAATTAAATAAGGAAAATAACCTTGCCTGCTGACCCCATCCTAAAAGAATAGAACAATCATTTCCATTTTCTTTTTAAGTTGTGTGAGTTGTCTTCAAATTTCAGATCTAGAAAAATTATATGCTTGAGCTAAATTTGGGAAAAAGGGGAAGAAATTTTCAGATCTTCAACACCTCTGCAATTTTTTTTAATCTTTTAAACAAAACAAATTGCTGTGGTTGAAAAACAATTGTTAAAACCAAAGCATTTGGTTCCATACAACAATTAGCTCAGAACTTGTGAAATAATCTTCTGAAACTTTTGTCTAGCCTCAACTTCCAAGTCACTTCATATGAACGCATAGTATAAGCAAAGCCAATTGGCAATATAAGTTCAAAATATTTGCCCAGGATAGCTTAAGATTGAGACAAGTTATGCAGAAGAGTTTGTCCATTGAGTCAAGAGTATGGACTTTTGTTCCAATGCTGATCAGAAAATAAGCACTAAGTTTTGAAAGAAGGCAATGGCAAAATTATAGTAGTTACCTAACCATGCAATCAACTAGTATAGCAGCTTTTCCATTTATTGATTGTGACTTCCCAATTTTTAAGGGACTGTGAGATGTATGTCTCCTGTCACATGAACAGTGTCAAAACCAAGCCACTAGAAACTGAGATCCACCAAGTTTAAAATATAAAATATAACATGGGTGGGTCAAAGCTATTGAGAGAGAGAGAGAGATATTACCTGGATATGTCTGTAAAATCTGGTTTACAACTTCCTCCCTCAAATTTCAACAAGGCCTGCAACTCCTTTACCTTGTCGTGAATCTATTCCAAGCACATAACTGATGATCACTCAACTGATATTATATGGACTTAGTAATCAACTACCATCACTGCTTAAAACATGTCAAAGTAACAGCTAGATGATAAGGTAACAAAATTACAACAAAGCTTAGCATCTATAAGGCACACAGGGTACATCATATATAGACCTTTGAATACTTTAAAAGGGTATAGGTACAAATGTTCAGGTACAAAATATATATTGAATTAAGGAAAAGACAAATGATGAGATGTACATCAGAATTCCAAATTATTTTCTGTGCATATTCAATTGTTTGATTGGTGTTCACTGATAAAAGAAAGAATATTTTCCTTAAGGAGTCCTGTTGATAATTCAGGTTTAGTTACAAAATTTCAATTCCTTCTGTTCTCCTAAAGGCACAGCATCAACATAGCTCTTGTCAAGCTACAGTACTCATCAAACCACACATGCAACCCAAAGATATCTAACCATCACTGAGGCCATGGAAACAACAAAAACAAGGACCAGGTCCTACAAATTTGGGCTACCAATTGATTAGAGATCATCCACAAGCTCACTAGTCATTACAGAAATCTATCAAAAGCTCATAAGAAAATAAAGAAACTCATGTCTTTAATTTTGTAAAAAAACTGTATTTGCATAACACTAAAATGTGTGACAACAAAAGGACCCTATTGCAAATTTTAGATTGAAAAGGCTTACCCATATGCTAAAGCAAAATCTAGTAAAGAAAAGTATTCATGCCCACTCAACTAACAGGGATAATCTCCAATTACAGAAATGAAAAAGTAAAGTATTAAAAAGGATATTATATAAATAACAGCAAAGCACAACAAAATTCGTATTAAAATTTCAGCAAACCCTGAGGCTAAAATGCGGTCATACCTCAGGAACATCCACAGTGAGAACTTCCCAACTTTTGAGCAACTGACAGAGCAATGCTGCAGGAAGATCCCTGGTCAATTTCAAAGTTTAGACAGTTCGGAAAACAGTTTCTGGGCGAAGCAGAGAAATTTAAGTTAACTAATGAGCAGAACTTCTTGTTTTAGTATTTCTATGAACATAAATGGAAAAAATAAATTTTAAATGATATCTAGAAAAACATGGAACATCAAAAGTGACGCTCATCTAAATTGACTCTAAGTAGCATGATGCTTGGATAAGAATAAATAGAAAATTAATTATTAAAATCAGAACTACACTAGAAAACATAAGAACTAAACCATGTGTGCAAAACTATAGTTGAGAGGAAATAAGTCTCAGCAGGTTGGATGGTAGAACGAGGAGAGGGGGAGGGGAGAGGCAGGGCTCGAAGAACGAACCCAGACCAGAGTCTGTATCATGGTGAAGGTAAGGTAATGTTGTATCATTGTATTTTATTCTTGTTTCCCCACTAAACCCTAAACCCTGACATGAGTTTCTTTATTTTCTGATGAGCCAATAACTTGAACGCGTTCGAGACTGGGACTGAGAGAGGTGTTTAATTTTTCTATCAGAAATTTCTATTTTAGTTGGTCGCTGCTTCATCCTTCTTTCATTAGTTGACGTCCTCACAAACCAGAGTTCTATAAGGAGATGGCCTTGATTGGTTCCACGAACTCTGTCCCTAAGACTACCTTAAAACATCTGACCACTTCAATCCATCTGCATTCTTTGAAACTCATTACTTACCTAACTTTGCGTACTACCTGACAAATAGTTTGTCCCTTCTGGAAGCTCAAATCTTGTTCAAGCATATAGCGATCGCTTGACAAAGATGTAGCTAAACTTTCTCCAATTCCAGTGGGATTATCAGAAGCCAATGAGGTGTAAATATCTGGATCAAGTGTCTCACAAAATAAGTCTAACAATTGAATTTTGCCACACTTCCCAGCTTCATATAAGCACTGCAAAACACTTGTGTGTCAAGATGCGGAAAGGCCAATTTGATGATATGAAACAAGAAAGGTACAAGGCCTTAAAAACATAAAAAGAAGACGAAAAAAGTTAAATTTTGTTCTTTCACTAATAATTAACATCTGTATAAGAAAATGAAAGGAGTCACCAGAACAATAGAGCTCCAGACCATCTGCAATCTCTTCAACTCTGTCAAACAATGAGCTATAGGGATATCAGTTTGTTCAGCCATTTGATCCCTGATGACAGATTTTCCAAAAGATGTCATCATATTTTATTTTTTATTAAAAAAATTTAAACTCATCCTTAAACAAAATGAGTAAATATCGTTGAACTTTATGATTACCTTGCATGAAGTAAAATTTCGGATGCCCCCTTAACCACTTTCTCACTCTGAAATCCCTTCAATGGTCAAATAACATCTTAGTAAATTATGACAAACATTGCTAGGGATTGGGTGGGGGCAGGTAGGAGAAGGCTTATCAAGGATGCATATATTAGCAAAAAAAAATTAAAAAAGAAAACAGGGAGTTAGAATTGACAAAGTTATTATTGTTGCTTTATATCTGATTGCACGTATATACATCAAGGCATAAACCAAATGTTCTGCGTCAAAATAATTTTCGTGGCAAATCCAAAAAGGGGACCGCGGTGGTGGGTGGAGGATCAGTTGCCAACTAACGACTTTGTTACAGTTCATTAGACGACAAAAAGGAAAATCGTTTTCTATTTTATTAAATGAAAAATCTGAACAAAAGATAGCAGAAGATGAATGTGAATATAAATTTGGGCATGAGTTATGCACCTTGACTTGAATGCAATCTACCTATGGCATTGTAAACATGATAGCCACAAAGAGGACAGATAAAATGCATGGATGCTACCTTGCTGTCTTCTTTAGCAAGCAACTGTCCAAGCATGAAGCTTAAAGGCTCCGTGGAGAAATGTTGGACACATGCTATCTGAAAAACACTTTGTGACATCAGCAGGGACCTAGTCATGCTGGCAGGAAAACATGAGAGGAAATGCAACATAGTGTAGAGAACATTGACAATGTGTTCATAAAATCTGAAAACAACTTAATTACCAACCTTCAAAGCTCTAAAAAAAGATGTCAATGTACCATCCTGATTTAAGAAGTAGTTTCGCAGAAAAATAGCCACCTTTTGACCAACAGCAAAACCAGAACACTGCCTCACAAGAGCAGCCTCAACAACTGCATCCATCCTCTCAGCCGGTGATCCCAATGTGAACTTGCAAGGGCGCAACTTCTTCAGCACATTTGAAGGAAGTATGTTACTTGGGGCATCCATTGTTGTTGCAACTCCCATAATTAAAATGACTGGGATCTTGACAATCCATTCACTGATAGAAACAAGGGAGCAAGTTACAAGAGCAGGTAAGCATAATCTTGTACTCTGAGAGAGAGAGAGAGTGTGTGTGTGTGTGTGTGTGTGAAAAAAGATCTGGAAACTTGTTGTATAAGCCACATATGAGGGTTGGGGTTAGAATACCTCAACATAAGAATCAAATCAGACAAGACAGGACCACAACATCGTTCCATATCGTTTATAATGACAACCACTGGAGAACCATAGTTTCCCTGCTGGCTGTACCATGATGCCAATATGGACATATCAGCTGCCTGCATAAAAAGGCAAAGCAGAATTAGAAGCAATAATGGAATTCGAAGAAATTGAATAAGAATACGATTCTTCGGAAATTTTAACTGAAGGAACAAGGAAATGTAAATACATCAAAAGTCCGCATCAAAAACTGTCTCAATAAACTTGTGAGACAACCAGCAATGCCATTCTTGGGAGAAAAGTCGAAGGAGGAAAGGTTAGCCACATGGCATCCATGAGATTTCAAGAAGAGGCCAAGCTCTTGAAATGTCAAGAAATCATCAACAAACTCCATATTCTCTGCCAGTAACGATTCAATCAAGTTAGATCATTGATGACGACTAACATTATCAACTCACTCAACTCAATTTGAACAATAGATGTTGGAGACCATACTGGTGAGAAGGAGCGCAGTGAAGAGCTGGTGGGTGACAATGGGAGAAGGTGGCGGAAATGGTTTGATAGTATTCGTATTGAAGGAGTCCCGTACCCAGCTGTGTATGTCATTAAATACACGAGCATTCATATTCCTCAGAACGTCCTTGATAGTGGAGTCAATTCCAGACCAAACCAACTGAAAAGCTTCCATTCGCAAGCAGCGCTCATCCCATTCCTTCTTCTCAGGCTTAAGCTTTGTTGGGCTTAGATCAAGCCTCTTTCGGGCTTTCCCATTACAAGTTAACTTTTCAGATGCTTTGTGAAGAACAAAAAAATGCTGTTTATAAATCAAATTACAAATTAGAGAGGAAGCCCCAACCACAGAGCAATATTAAACAAAAATTACAAGATATAGAAATCGAAGCACAAGAACGGAAAATAGGAACGCAAGGGACCTGGAGGTTGTTTTGGGTGGTATCGGGGCTTGAGGGAGGTCGTGAATCACCCGCACTTGCAGATGAATGCGCCATTAATGCTCTTTTCTCTTCTACACTCTACAGAATTAGCCAATTTTAGGGTTTCCTTCCTACCCCGCCCAATTGGCGGTATTTCTACACTCTACTTTTTTTTAATGCTGGGATGTCCGACTCTCTTTCTTTTGGCGGGAAAATAAAATAATCACAATCTCGCGATAAATTGATTTTCTATCTATTGAAGTGATAAGCCGATAAATTATTGTCTATATACTCAAAACCGTGATCCAACCAAAAGAAGTCTCTTTTTTTTGGTCGATATACCTAAAAAGAGTCCTAGTCCTATGAAGGCTAGGTCATTTCGTGTCTATTAAAAATTAGGATGAGGTCATCCTATAATCCTACTCCTAGATGATTAGGTCATCTCAAACAACTATGATCTAAAGGCTACATGACTCCTCTTCAATCTATGCAATTCTAAGTACCATAATATCTTGTATAACTTAACTTCAAACACTTGACTGACTTAAGCATCATAGGGATTTTGATCGACATCACACCAAGATTCCCCGTTAGCCTTCCTTTTTGTATGTTTTTTATGACGATTTGGTTGGTCACGTTGACTAAGTTTAGACAAATTGTCAAACATCTATTTCCATAAGTCATTTTGCTATTGAGATCAAATTTAGGCATCAACAAAAACATATATGAAAACAACGTTGATTGATAAAGAAGAGGAACAACTGACATGAGGAGGGTGTAGAGTTAAACTTAAAATCCAAACACTGGTGAGAAGAGGTGCTGGAAATCGTAATTTGTATGTTGATAAAGTTGAACTTAAATATAACATTACATCACCATACTATGCTAAATTCAAGGACATGACTCCTACTAAATTAATCTATTACTGACACTACTAACAAACTGCTTCACTACTGGGAGACTCCTAAAGACTTGGTAAACATAACAACGTGCAACATGACTTCCTACATAATAGGATAATCAGTTTATTTAATTAAGAACAACTGCTGTAACTAGATAAAAATCTTAACATAGGGTGGAGAGGAGATTATGAGGTATAAATACATGGACTATATATAGAGATAGGGATGGAAATAAACAAAATTCATAAATATTGATTTTTAAGGAATAGGGAAAGGAATGAAGGGAATGGTGACGAGAGAGAGGAGGTGTTGAGTGTGTAAATGATTGTAAAAAATAGTTGGTTGTTTAAATCATTTCATTTACTTGTCGTTTTTACTAACAGAATTCATATGCTAATGATAGAGAGATTATATTTTTTTTGTTAAACATAGAGAGATTATATTTGAATATCTTATAACATGGCAAGTGATGCATGATACAACCATCTAATAAAATTATTTTTTTACAAGTTAAAATGAGATGTCACTTATTGCATAAATGAAACCTGGTACAGTTTTCTAGATAGCAATGCATCATATTTTTAAGGCCCGTTTGGTATCTTATTAAAAAAAAACTCAAAAAATATATATATTGTTTACCATGAGTTTTTATATATTGATTTTAAGATCTAAAAACTTGTTTGGTATTGAAGTCCAAACTATTTTTAAGATCTAAAAAAATTGAAAATAAAATTAGAAAATCAGAAACCCTAAATTCTCAAATTGAAAGTAACAAAGGAAAAGGGGAGAGAGAGAGAGAGGAAAAAAAAAACTGTAAAACCTCACTTTTTTTAGTTTTTTTAAAATGAGTCTTTTTTAGTTGTTTTAGGGTTGAATTTTTGAGAAATTAGTTTTTACCAAATGTGAATTATAGATTTTGGACCCAAAAATTGTTTTTGTATTTAAAAAATTGAATCAAAGTAAGATACCAAACGGGTCCTAAATTTCTAGTGAACAGAAGGATTGAAGTCAGAATTAAACCACCTCATGTCTTGCTATATTCTATAATCACTCTACTGAACTATTGAACTTTGTTTTCTTGGATAAACTACTGAACTTTGTGATGGGACCAAGCCCCTTCAAATTCATTATGCCAACACATACATAATATAGGAAAACCTGGTCACCATAGAAGGAAAAAATACGTAGGAAAATTTCAATGTGATGTACAAAGTTACACTCGCTCAAAATTGACTGGAATGAGGAACTATAGTGTAATACAGTAGTATAATTACGTGATATAATTTGTTCACGTGACCATAACTACAGGGTATATATCAAATTATATCATCAACTCATATTATTATACGTTTACAAACTATACCAACCATTCTCTAATAACATTCTACAATTTCTCGACTGGAACAGCATTAGGGAACACATTTCTCGCATTCGCACTCGCACATAGACACAACTTTTCGGCAACTAGACAAGCCTACCTACTTGAGAGTTGAGAGTTGAGAGTTGAGAGTTGAGTTGGGACACCACCACCATGTCCGTCTTGTAATTGTAATGAAGCTTCAGACTTTACTTAATAATAACTAAACTTACCCCAATAATAATAAAAAATAACAATAAGCAAACTTAATACTAACAAGCATCCCTCCCTCCCCCAATAAAATTAGACCAGAGCTTGCTCCTTGGGGTTGTTCCTTCCACAGAGTCACAGTCACAGTCACAGACGCTGCCCCCCTTTCTCAACACAAACGCACAGAACAGAAGACAGCGAGAGTGAGTAACCCAACATCAACATGCTCGAGTCGAAACTGAGGCTGATCTAGTGTGTCCCATGTTTTTCTCTGTCGTCCTCGTCGTCGGTAATGTTTGAGCTCCTCCTGCCTGGGTCCTGGAGCTGGAGGTGAATAGTTGTTGGTTGGGGGTTGCGAAGATGAATACTTGTGCTACTGGAGCTGGAGGTGGAGGTGGAGGTGGGGCTGCTGGGATGACGGGGATGAGGTCACCTTTCACAGTGTCTCAGTGGCAAGAGCTGGAGCATCAGGCTCTGATCTTCAAGTATATGATGGCAGGCATGCCCGTGCCTCCTGATCTCGTGCTTCCTATTCAGAAGAGTTTTGAGTCCATTTCTCAAAGATTGTTCCACCATCCTACCAGTAAGCCTATCTCGCTCTCTCTCTCTCTCTCTCTCTCTCTCATTTTTAATTTATTGATTATTTTTTCACTCTTCAGATTAAACGATTTAATCTGAAGAAAATATGTTTTCTTCCTCGGTGTTTCTTTTTGATTTTCCAGTTCTTCAAATAAGAAACCATGGATATATATGTTTATACTTTTTTTTTTATATTTATTTTGAGAAGCACCTCTTTCTTTTCTTCTTGTGGGGATTGTAAATGCCCATTATGAAGTTGTGTAATACTTGTTAAATGCGTTTTAAAACTATTTGTACTAGTGTTTTTCTCTATGGTTCAATCAACCAGGGATCTTATATTTCTTTTCACTCCAAATGAATAGACAGGGAATCGCCTCGCCCTTTGGACTCTGAAATTATGACTTTGAAATGCGGTTAGGATTTGTGACTTATGCCTGGATGTGTTCAATTTAATTTCAGGAGTCACCTTTTGATATTTAATGGAATTTCCTTGCTTCTTTACTCTACACGTTTTCTTACACTAGTTTTTCAAGTTCATCCTTTATTTATTTACCACAAAAAAATAAAAATAAAAAATAAAAAAAATCCTGCGTTGGAACAAACACTTCTTGTTGTTCCTCTGGTTTTGAAATTTCTAAATTCGCTACTTTCCTTTTTGGCTAATTCCATATTACATATTCTTTGTTTTCTATTATATATATATATATATATATATATATATATTTTTTGTCTTTGAAGATGAAGTAGAAGTAAACATATCACTTAATAGATTCTGGATAAATTTTGCAGTGGGTTATTGTTCCTTCTACGGGAAGAAGGTGGACCCTGAACCGGGACGCTGTAGAAGGACTGACGGAAAGAAGTGGAGGTGCTCCAAGGATGCATACCCGGACTCCAAGTACTGTGAGCGCCACATGCACCGTGGCCGCAACCGTTCAAGAAAGCCTGTGGAATCACAAACCATGACACAGTCATCGTCCACTGTGACATCATTGACTGTCACTGCAAGCAGCAGTGGAACTGGGAGCTTCCAGAACCTTCCACTGAATGCCTTTGGTAACACCCAAGGAACTAGTTCTGGAACCAATCAGTCTCATTATCAGATAGACTCCATTCCTTTTGGAATCCCAAACAAAGATTATAGGTATTTCATTCTCTGCAATTCACTTTTACTTCAGTTCATTGTTAAAAAAATGCTAGTGAAGAAAGTAAACAAAATGTTTGAATGCTTGCAAAATGGAAGTTTTACAACTGGCTAGTCCAACTATAAGTTTATCGAGTTGAAACTTGATTAAATGGAAACATGAAGAGAAAGAAAATGAAGATATGATAATCGTCTTTCCTTGTGTTTTATTTCCGGCATTGAGAGAGAGTATTATGTGATGCAAACTATTGGATGCATACGCATGTTTTTAGTCTTGCTTGGGCCCGTATTGTTAAAATTGTGTGGTAGCAGCAATATTGGTGACTTCCTGCCATGTAGGTATTGGGGTTCTTGCAGATAGATACTTTTCGATTTCTGTCAGATCCAGGGTTCTGGGCCCAGATGTGCTTAGAATAGTTGCTTAATTTTTTTATGTCTTCACTGAAAGTCTAGGCCTTTTTGCAGTTTTCTTTCTGGCTTGATCATTTTTCATTTTGTTTTCTCTGCTAAATTTTCTGCAGAAGTCTAATAAGTGAAAAACTATATACTATCCTAAGTTTCTGCTGAACAGAAAGATAGGAATGGTAGGCCTATGAGTTCTCCAATTTCTATATTTTTTGGGGTAATAGGTTGCCTGAAATCTGTTTAAGAAATGCATATATCAGTTTCTGAATATTTTTTGTCTTAAAAAAGTAGTTGTAAAGAGTTAAATTTTTTAAATTTTAAATTTAATCATTTGAGCATCACATACAGCACATCAGATCAGACTCTCATATACGTAGATGGCCTTATACTTTATTATTGTTTCTAATTATGTTAGCTGCTATTTGGTATATCTTATATTGGTGCCTAAGTCGAGTATCTTAAATTTTTATGGAAAGCTTATTGTTATATCTAGTATTTGCGGGATCGTTTATCCATTTATGAAATGGTATGGTGGAATTGATATGGAAAGACTGCTGACATCTATATTGAATGTCTAGCAAAAACTTTGTGAATTCCTGTCAACGCTCGGGCCCAGAAGTCTGATGTCTTTCCAGTGAGGGCCTTTTGACAGCCATCCTTTGCAATTGCTTCTATAGATTGCATTCTCTTAATTCCTGGACGAAATCAGACAGCATTTAAGTTGTGCTGAGTTAGTGGCATCTTATTCACCATGCACGGTAGCTATTGACAAGGAATTTTGCAGAAATTTTTTGGTCAAAAGATTTTATGTATTTATTCTCAACAGTGGCAAAGGAATTGATCCCCTGCATCTTTTGATGAAAGGATTGAGTGGAGTTCATGTTACTTACCTTAATATATTGATATAAACCATATAGAATATATAAATATTGTTAGAATGCATGGTATATACATATTATGCATGAATGTCAGGTACATATTATGCCGTTTGCATCCTGCAGCATCTATGCCTATAGCTGTGTAAGAATTGACCTTTTATTTGTTTCCATTGATCATCTGAAACTATTTCATGAATTCATGGGCTTTCTCTTACGCTGTCGCTCCTCTCTTAATTTTAAAAAATGTTTAGATTATTTCTTGTACCTGATATTCTGTTGTCCTTGCCCTTTTCTTTTTGCTGGTTGCACTTGCTTGTTTCCTTTGCGCTTTGGATGCCTTAAGATCTTCTGTAACTCCTGTAGTACTTGTCTGTCAATTTCCATTTTTTCTGATGCAGTAACGGAGTTGGGACTTGCACTGTGATGTAGAGGATGGGTTTATTAGGTTTAGGAAATGAGATTAGAAAGATGGTATTCTAACAATTCAGGGGAAAAATTAATTAAGTTTTTTTCCTAAAAAAATGTAAAAACTACACTTCGTGGCTGTGCATCTTTGTGTTTACGTGATCAATATAGTGTTTTTGGTGGAAGTTTTTTTTTCCCTGCACATAAGCTGGCAACACCAACATGAATCAGTTTGAACCGTACAACCAACTGTAAGGACATGTTGGATATCTTAAAATGATGCGTACAATATCATTTGCATTTGAATGCAGTGGTTTGGTGCCATAACATGGGGAGATGATAAAGTTGCTGAAGGTGTGTAGAGATGTGATCATATGAGAACAAGCTGAGTTTTTTAAGGAACAAATTTTCAAACAGTTATTCATTCAGTGATATATCAGAAGTAGTTGAGATTCCTTTTCATTTAGATATGAGATATCCATAGAGCTGTAAACACATCATTCACTGTTATTTACTATGACAAAAGATGGGAACACCTCATCTAACAGCAAATCAATCACCCTTCACTTTACTACAGGTATCTTCAAGGACTTAAACCCGAGATTGGTGAGCATAGTTTCTTGTCTGATGCTTCAGGAAGCAACAGGGGTCTCCAGATGGACTCACCACTAGACAGCACATGGCCTCTGATGCCATCCAGAGTTGGCTCATTTCCCGCATCAAAATCGGGTGATGGCTCCATTTTGCATCATGATTATCCACAGCATTCATTTTTCAATAATGCATTCCCCTCAGAATCTGTGAAACAGGAAGGTCAATCTCTCCGACCTTTCTTTGACGAGTGGCCTAAAGGCAGGGATTCCTGGTCTGGTCTTGAGGATGAGAGATCCAACCAGACCTCATTCTCCACCACCCAGCTCTCAATATCAATTCCAATGACTTCATCTGACATCTCTGCAACAAGTTCTCGATCCCCACGTGGTGAGTTTCAACGTGGGAGGGTTTCTTGCGAATTAATTGATGATTCTAAATATTGTGGTTAAATTGTAATGTTTTGCAGATAGTTGAGAGAAGAGAATCATGCTTTGGGAATTCCAGGCTTGGGAAAGTCGTATGATATGCTTCAGAGAGTGCTTGAAGAGTCACTCGTGTTTGTGAAAGCTTTGGTGGTTACCTATATTTGTTTAAAAGTACATTTGCAGACTCGAGTTTAGGTCTGAATAATTCAAACAACATGATTCACAAGTATGTATGTAGGATAAGGATATCCAGAACATGAAAGAGCAACATTTGTCGGTCTTGGCTTTGATTTGTTGATATATATATCTATATTCAATGAACTGTCGTAATTTTATCAACTCATAGCCTCGTGGAATAATGAGAATTGATAGACAGGTGATTTGAATGGAGGTCTCTTCCTTCCTTCCCTTCTCCCTTCCTCCCTTCCTCCTCCCTTCCTCCCGTAACTTGTATGCATTGCATGCCTGGAACTTGACTTGAGGTCTCATCTGTTTAGTTGACAAATTGAACTTGCAAATTGGTACCCTTCATTATTAAAAAAAACTACATAAAATTGAAGAAATCAAAGAAAGGTGTAAATTCATGACGTCGTGAAGTTAGTGGCAGAGATAATATCGGTTTCCAGAAGTTCTTCCTCCAAAAAGTAGTTTTTATTTCACCCTTGTAATTCGAACAACTATTTTTTGTATTTAAAGGTAAGTATTTTAGGAATTGGCAGGCTTAATTTTTTGGTCAAAACAACCGTCCCTTATCACAGACCAAGAAGTTTAGAAAAATCTACTTCCTTCAGCAGCACTCCTCACCCTCAGCTAAAAAGAATAAGGGAAACGAGAAGAAGAGAAATCGTTCGCAGTTGCCAGTAACGTCGTGAAGTATTGGTGTGTGAATCAAAAAGTTAAAAAAGTTGAGCCACCCCATTGCAAATAGGATAGTCAGGAGGATCTGGTTCCTCAAAGTCGGTCAAAACAAAAACAAAAAAAAGTCGCAGAAGATATATTGATGGGTTGGGGTTGGGCAATCTACGAGGGAGTGGTGGCGTTGGGATCGCTGGGGCTCCTGGGATGGGCGGGGCTGTGGTTCTTGAACCGAAGGCTCTACAAAGAGTACGAAGAGAAGAGGGTCTTAGTTCAGATCATATTCAGCGTGGTCTTCGCCTTCTCTTGTAATCTGCTGCAGCTGGTCCTCTTCGAGATCATCCCCTTTCTCTCCCAAAGGTATGCTAAATCCCTAATTGCTTGCCATTGCCAATGCCAATGCCATCTGAATGGGATTGTAATAATAATAATAATTCATAATTATATACGGTTCGGTGCCATTTCATAATTGCATTTGCTTTCTGCAACAAATTGTATTTTGCAGGGCACGATGGCTCAACTGGAAGCTCGATTTGTTTTGTCTCATACTATTACTGGTTTTCATGTTGCCTTATTATCATTGTTTCTTAATGCTCTGCAACAACGGTACGTACCTACGTCTAAGTCTGGCACTATGTTATTTTAACGAAGAAAGAGACAATGAATGCTTATCTGTTTCTTCTTTTCCAACTTCAAACTCCTCCTCTATTCATCTCAGGGTTCCCGAAGGAACGCGCTGCTCTTGGATCCGTCTTGTTTTTGCTCGCCTTCCTTTATGCTTTCTGGCGCATGGGCATTCACTTCCCTATGCCTTCCCCGGATAAAGGCTTCTTCACCATGCCTCAATTGGTCAGTCGGATTGGGGTCATTGGCGTTACTGTCATGGCTGTCTTGTCTGGTTTTGGAGCTGTCAATTTGCCCTACAGTTACTTATCTCTCTTTATCAGAGAGATTGAGGAAGCAGAGATCAAGTCCTTGGAAAGACAGCTAATGCAATCCATCGAGACTTGTATTGCTAAGAAAAAGAAGATCATTCTTTCTCAAATGGAGATGGAACGGATTCATGGATCAGAAGAGGTCCCTTTAGCAATCCTATAATTTATCTTTCTTGTCTTAAAATTTGGAACTCATCATCTGTTTGATGCGATTGACACTTGTTAAACATCTACTTGACATAGTCTACACTTGTTCAATTTTGTCTCAAGTATAAATACATGCGGATCTTGATTTGTATATTCCAACTATTACTTGCATCAACATGGACACTCTACGATAATCGTTTTCTGTTGTTCAAAATGATTTTACTTGGAAATTGTATTTGTATTAGCATATGTATAAGATTTTAGTTACTAGCAGTGTTATAAACCCAATCTGGACTTGCGCCTAATTAAAGTTATATGTTGCAGAAATTAAAGGCTAGATCTTTCTTTAAAAGAATTGTTGGCACTGTTGTGCGATCTGTGCAAGAGGATCAAAAGGAGCAAGGTTGGTGTTGTTTGATGTTTTTCCTTGGGATAAAATCCTGCATTTTTCCTTCTAAAAGATTGTTTTTGGTCTTTTATCGATGATTTTTAAAATTTTTACTTTTCTTAACTACTTCTCTTGTCATGTTACTTGCATGCATCGAGAACTATTAAATATGTTGACTTATTGAGCTTTCCAGACTATCAACATTGTGCCTTTACTTTGTAAAGATTTCGTCGTTGTCTTATTTCACTTATTTCTCTCCTATGTTCTCTCCCTCCCTCCCTCCCTTCCATTCTTGGGTTACGAAGATATTAAAAACATGGAAGCAGAAGTGCAAGCATTAGAAGAGCTTTCAAAGCAGCTATTCCTGGAAATTTATGAGCTTCGTCAAGCAAAGGTTCAGTTCCAATTATGTATTATTGTTTATACTATTTAATTTCAAATGTCTCCTTTCTAGAACTGCTGCTCTATGTGAGTACTGAACCATGCATCTGTTCTTTTATGTACTGGGTGGAAAATTTGTGCAGGCTATAAAAAAAAACAATTCCATGGGCCATTAAAGAGTATAGTGGATGATAGAAATGATCCAGTTGACTAAAGTTAGAACATCATAATGCTTACCTATATTTAATGCCCATTCTGTGCCTGATTAGTGGCATATAAACTTAAATTGTTATTACTTTACAGGAAGCTGCTGCTTATTCTCGAACCTGGAAGGGTCATATGCAGAATCTACTTGGTTATGCATGTTCAATCTACTGTGTATATAAAATGATTAAGGTATGGGTTGCATTTTTTTGCCCAAGGAGGTGGTATGAATTAAAGTCAGTTTAGATACATGCATGTCAAATTTAAAATTATTTTTCTCTTCTTTGAGTAAAACAAGTTTTGGACATTACATTAACATATACTGTGTACAGCTCTCAAACACATCAGAACCCTTTGCTGGTCAATTTTTATATTATATGCTTATCGGTTCCATTTTCCTGGAAGGTTTATTCTTTAATGATTATGAGATCTTATCATATATTTGAATCTTGAGTCTTGCGTCAAATACTAAAGATATTTGAGTCTTAAATCTTGAGTTTTATGTCATAAAAATTATATCATCACACACACACACACACACACACACAACATATAAGGACTTGATGCCTCTTAATGCGTGAATCCCTGATATAATTATACTATCTAGTGTAGGCCGACATGCAATCTAAGACCTGTTAGGTTACTCCGAATTTCGGTATACAAAAGTACTTTAAAATTCGCACCAGAATTTGTGGTGTTTCTCTCTCCAATGTAAGAGTTTCCCACTTAAAATTTTCTCACTTAATAGAATTTTTACATCCCATTTGTAAGAAAATATGGGGAGTCATCTGTGGGATACAAAAGAAAATTCTGTCTGCAGAAAGGGTTTGTATTACCATATTTTTTTAAGCAAGCAACGTCCTTCATTTTTTTTCCTTCCTAGTTTTGGATTTTGATTTTTGAAAAGTGCCTGATTACTTTTAATTGCTCTCTGCAGTCTTTGCAAAGCGTTGTTTTCAAAGAGGTATTACTTTCATCTCTCACTTATTACTTTTGACACTTGCTTATATGTATGTTTCTGCTTTCTGGCTATTAATTTCCAATTTTGTATTGGATAAATAATAAAAAGTTCTCTAACAGGCTGGCTCTGTGGATCCTGTTACAATGACAATTAGCATATTCTTGCAGTTCTTTGACATTGGTATCAATGCAGCATTGTTGTCACAGGTTAGGCAGCTTAACATTTACACCTATATTGGTTGACCCTTTGGTTTAATATCTGAAGCTGCATGCCTGTGGTCTTTTCCCCCCTCAAAGGACAAACTTGCAGTTATTTAATGTATTACCTTTTGCAATAATTTAGACAGCCACCTCGATCTTATTCCTGTTTTGGATGAAGCTCAACAATTTAGTGGATTACGAGAAATGGGTGGCAGTCCTGTGATTTTAGTAGCACAAAATATATGCAAATTCACAGTCATTAAAACAATTAGACTCCTGACTTTGGCCTTATTTCCAATATGTGCTAGTTTCTGAATGATATGTACTTATAATGCTTGATTGGTTAGACTATTGAACACATTGTTGACACTTCTTTTGTTCTCATTGTTGGCAGTATATTTCACTCTTGTTCATTGGAATGTTGATTGTTATATCAGTTCGTGGATTCTTGACAAATTTAATGAAGGTAATCCTTCTTATGCCTGCCTTTTCATTTATTTCTTATTTAAGTTGGAGAACCACAATGCACTGATTTGCTTTCTTCAGACTGATTACCAAAATGCGGTGTCCAGTCTTTTTAGAAAAAGAAAAAAAAGAGAGTTCTGAATGCTTGCTTTTTTACTTTTGACTGAGTTGCAGACAAACTGGCAAGGCTAAATAGCCGAAAGTTAAAACACAGTTGTTTTGGATCTGGAGTTTATAACCAGATACTTCTTCTTTTTTAGGTTGTACATGCTAGTGCTACAATTACATCAATAAAAAATAAATTGATCTTAACCAGGTCTTAATCCCATTTTAAGTCGTTTTCTGGGAATACACTGGTTGTTCTTTTACCAGTCTTTGGATTATTAAGTGGCATAGTATTTTGATATGACCTATATGACCTTTTTATATACATGCCTGGTGCAATGACATCAATGACATCAATGCCCTCAAGCTTTTTCATTTTTTGTTATCTTTGTTAACGAGAAACTGGTGGAAGGATAAATGGAGCATCTTTTTTCATTGTTTTCTGATATCCTATGGCTTAGCTTTCTGTCTTTGCTGTGCACAGTTCTTTTTTGCAGTATCAAGAGTTGGGAGTGGATCTTCTAGCAATGTTGTACTGTTTCTGTCTGAAATTATGGGAATGTACTTTCTGTCCTCTATTCTTTTGATAAGAAAAAGCCTGGCAACTAAGTACAGGTATGCTGATAATTGATGTTTGTCAACATTCGTCTTTGTTTTTGGTTTTTCTTTCCTTGATGTTGAATGGTCTGGACTCTGGTTATGTTTATGAATTTTGGTCAGTTGTATTGAGCTTAAGTGCTAATTATTTTCACTCTAGTGTGCATACCGCACCTCAAATTTCCTAATTATTGTATTTTGTTAAGGCAAAAACATGCTTCAAAACTTTGAAATGAATTTGATGCACATTTACAAGAAAACAAGAATTTGCCTCTTTTCTCAGTTTCAGAACAAAAACATTGTCCTCTTCTTATACTTCATAAGTATGGAGGGCTCGGGGAAAAATAGAAACCGACCAAAATACTGTCTTACAAGATGCATCCAAGTATTGACAACAGTAATGGTGCGAGGAATATTTCTTCTTGTAATTGTAAACTACATTTACAGTATGTTGGAATTAATACCTTATTATTTAATAAATTGAAATTTTGAACTCACAAATTAAGAGAGAACTATACTAATATAAAAACAGTATATTACACTTGATTATTGACTGAAATTGTTACTTTAGCCATGTTTTGTCTGTCTGGAAGTGCAGATTTCCAAATGATGGTCGTCAAACTTTGTTACGTCTTGTGTCATATAAACTTGATTGCATGTTGAACGAGTTTTGGATAGAGATAGAGTATTGTTGCCTGAGCTTTTATCTCCTGGCAGGATGATCATAACAGATGTATTGGGTGGAGATATTCAGTTTGACTTCTATCACCGGTGGTTTGATGCAATCTTTGTGGCCAGTGCTTTTCTTTCTCTACTTTTGCTTTCTGCACATTATACCTCTCGGCAGGCTGACAAACACCCGATTGATTAATGTAGTTTAATGCCAACTATGTAATGTAACTAACAGCTTAACCTTTTCATAAAAATTCCAAAAAGAATGCGATTTGAATGATTTGATTCATACCGCATTTTTTAGGTTTTATTATGAAATTGCGGGTGGTTTAACTTAACTATGAAGTGATTTGCGTGGTAGGTACCCATATTATTTGTTTATTTTGTAGCATGCCACTTGTTCGGCATATCATCTTCGCTTGTCCGCATAGGAAGATAATACGATTTGAACCACAAGGAAAGATGAATGCAGATCAATATCCATCCAAGCCTTAGCCTTCGTGATTATTATTATTATTATTAGAGATAATAATAGTAGAGATCATTTTTTATGGGTGAAACTTATGATCCAAAAAAGAATGGTTGACTTTGTAATAATAGAGATAATACCTCTATTTACACGTTTTCTGAAAAGATAATTTTTTTACGAAGAAGGTCCGCGACATACGTCTTTTTACGCATGCCATATTTCTTGTTTGTCCTTACAATTCAACTTTTTATTTTCTATGATCTATGTCAAATTTAATCTATTAATTTGACCAATTTTACAATTTAGCCTTTATTCCAAATCAAATTCAACTACAAGTTAAATTTTTCAAAGTTAAAATGGTATAGTTCGTAGTAGAAAATAAGTTAGACTAGTGTGGAAGAAGTGGAACTTTATAAAATAAACCAAAGACCTTTTTCTTTTGGGTTTGGCCATATATGGTACCAACATAAAACGTCATGTTTTGTTTTTAGAGGAACCTGATCTCAAATTTTTAGTTGTCAAATTATTTATAAAAAAAAAAAGTAATGCTACACTTACTACATTTTTATTATATATTTTTATTCCAAATAAAGTATGTCACATATTATATGCCACATCAATTAAATCAATAAAGTATATTTTAATTAAGAAAATTAGAAAATTAAATATTAAAAATTATTAAATAATTTTTATTGATGTATGATTGTCCACCTTAATTACCATATAAATACAGCATAATGTGGTAAGAGTAACATTATTCGTCAAAATAAAATAAAAAACTAGACAGGCCGTAATATGGTAGACCAGCAAAAAAAAATGTCAGGACCCCCAATTTTTTTAGGCCCGCATTTAAATTCGAAATATACGAAACTTTACTCATTTACTCATTTTCCGTAGAAAATAAAATTCCTGGCGAGATTTAAGCTGCTTAATATGTAGATGGATTCCATTGCAGGATTTTTTCCCAGATCACAGAGAGAGATAGAAAAAAGTAGAGAGAGAAAGCGAGATATATATTTTATATATAAATAAACACAACATTTTATTTAATCAGATTCTGTGTGGTGTAATAGAGTAGATGGTCATGTGGTTGTTGTCTGAGGACTTGATTTTGGATACCATTTGCTGGGAAGTTAGGGTTTTTAATCGAATTGAATTCAACCGTGAGGGAATCCTGCAATTGGAATAGCGGAGTTTGGGTTTGGATTAGATTAGGGTTGGGACTGGTTGTCATCTTGATGATGTCCTGCCGGAAGGAACGGGCAGTCGATGAGCTTTACAACGCCACGCGGATTGTTATGAAACCAGAGGCACGTAATTGTTAGCCGACTTGGTTCTTTTAACCCCTTCTCTTTTGGAAAAATTTGATTTTCTTCAGTATGATCGGATTACTCGCTGAATTGATTGCCAAACGGTTGTATTATTCATGATAGTGTTGATTTCATGGTTAGGGTTTTTGGGCCTATATTTTGTGAAGTTTCATTCTGGGTTTGATTGCATCACTTTGTACATATATATGCATATTAAATTTGTTAGCTTGATATGAGTCTCTTTTCCTCTAAATGGATTTAGTTTTCAGCCATTAATGTTAGTCCAGAGTATTCCATAATTGGCTACCGGAGATTGGAATTAATGTAATTTTGGTGTCCCCTTTTAGATCACACCAGTCTTGAGAGGGAGTCATCGTATGCAAGGGCCTGCTGATGAGACTGATCATGATATTAAGAAGAATATGGTGAGAAAACAGGGTAATTTGCCTTCTTTCTTTTTCTGTTTATTAATTTTCAGCTGTCTTTTCCTGTATCATGCAGTAGTGCGTATTTCAAAGAAAAAAAATGAAAAAGAGAAATAGACAATTAGGCTTTTGGGAGTTTATTGTTTTTTTGTTGACTATAAGGAACAACGTTAGAGTTATAAGAATTTCAATAGACATTTCTGAATAACTAGGAGTGTGGCTGTAACGGATGATTGAATCCAGGTTCTAGGAACTGTGCAGGAATTAGTTTGTGCTGCAAACCATATGCATTTCTTGCTAATAACTTCATTGGACACTTCTCGCTGACTAGGAGTGTGGCTGTAATGGTTGATTAAATCCATTCTAGGAACAGTGCAGGAATTTCTCTTATACATTAATCTAAAAGTAATTTTTATTTGTGAGAATGTTGACGGGCCAGTGGAGGGGATTGTCACATGCAGCTTCCTGCAGTTGTAGTTACTTGTTATCCCTCTTTGTTTGGTAGTGGAGGATGTTATTCAGGTGCATTTGGAGGACATTGGTAATAATGAGCATTAACAACTCAAAATAAAAGAACGACCATGAGAACATTATTTCTCATATTGAAATCTGGTTTAGTGTGTTATTTTCTTTTATCAATACTCCCTTAAACTGAGAGTGACTTTTGGTGTTGCCTCTGTCTCATCGACCTGATTTTTACATTTTCCATGCCTAAATATGGTCACTGTTGAAAACTCTGGAGTTGTCTGTACATCTTTCATAAGTTTTTTTCTTTTTCAATTCTCCATTGTTAATTTTTGTATTGTATCCGTTCCTAATTGATTTATTGTATTTATTAGGTGTCATCTCAATCTTTAAAAGAATTTGGTAAGCATTCTATGAGTAGGAAAGTTCATATGAGAGGCGAGTCTGGGGCTTGTAACCTGTGCTCTGCTCCCTGTTCATCTTGTGTGCATTTTAATAGAGCTCTTATGGGGTCAAAGGCTGATGAATTTTCTGATGAAACCTGTCGTGTTAATGCGGCTAGTCAATATTCTATCAATGTGGGCGATACTTCAGCCTCTTTTAAGAGCAAGGCATGTGACAGTTTACAACATACCACCAGTGAGACTAGTAACCTACTTAGTGTTAATTCAAGTCATGATTCTTTGTCTGAAAATGCTGAAAGCAAAGCACCCATAAGGTCTTCTGATACATCTGATGCTGTAGAAGGTTTTGAGATGCTTACAAATACGTTTGAGGATTCTAAAGTTGTTGAAGTCAATGACGATAACATTTCATGTATAAGTAGAGTCAATGATGCAAATTTAGCAGTCAATCACCATAACAGAAATGTAGAACGGAAGAATTTGTCTTGTAGTTTTGCTTCAGTTGGTAGTGTAGATCCAGAAGAAGTTGAAAAGGCACACAAGTCAGTCTTGTCAGAGATGGTAAAAGCTGCAGATGCTGGTGATAGCGCAACAAAGGTGCAAAGTCGTGCTCCCACTCACAAATTGGTGCATCATGTTCCTTTAACTTTTTATTTTTATTTTTTTAATAACTGATTTAGGAGATGATGCGTCTTCTCATTTGCAGGGAAAACTGCCAGAATGCTCTGGGAATACGGATTCATCATTAATAAAAGAGTCACCATCTGATATTGTCGTTTGCCAGAAATTTGATTCTAATAAAGGTTTGGGGGCCTCTACAAAAATCTGTCCAAAGACAGAAGTTGAGACCAATGGTAATGGCCAAGACCTAAATGATGAAGCTTTGAAATGTTTAGATCATGGTGAACAAGATGTGAAGTCAAATGAGTTGGTCGCAGTAGCTGAGAAGCAGCCCTTGCAATCTGCTTCTGGAGATGACAGTGATGAATCTGACATTGTGGAGCATGATGTGAGTTCCCCCCCCCCCCAAAAAAAAACCAAGTAAAATTTGTATGTATGACTTGTCTGCATAAAATTCTTGTTATCTGTGTTCTTTGGTCTTTTTCTGGGGCTTCCCCTAAGTCCCTCTATATATGTTTTCGGATAGAATGATATTTTCTTGCTAGTTGTTAGTTCTGAAGGTCTGTAAATATAAGCCTCTTGATTTATGGTTCACAGAACTGTGGTCCCATGAATTGTCTGTTGTCATTAGCACTCAATTGATTGATCAAGCCTAATGTTGATTAGCATGTTTTCAGAAAATATTGAGCAATCAGGTATTTGCAGCTTTTGTCAGTGTGATTAGGAACGCATCCGTCTTTGTTTGTTAAGAATTTGTCAAATGTTTGCTATTTAGTTTGATACTGATGCCTTCACATTTTCGTTTGAAGGATGATATGCTTGATGTATTCAACTGTGTTGAGGCCTGTAATGGCTTCTTTTTACTTTAGGTTCTGGAGGATCTGTATTTTAGTAGAAGAAACTTTAGCCTCTTATTTCTTTAGCTGAAGAACTAAAATTTTTCCTTTTTTTTTTTTTTTTTGGTTCATAAACAGGTAAAAGTATGCGATATTTGTGGGGATGCAGGTCGCGAAGATATGCTTGCCATGTGTAGTAGGTGCAGCGATGGTGCAGAACACATGTAATAGTCTTTCGCCATACTTTCTGCTGTCAGGTTTTGATGGTGATATTTTATGTTGATCCCATGCCTGTGATCAAAATTTGTTAACATTATTATTGCTAAAAGCAGCTATTGCATGCGAAAGATGCTTCGGAGAGTTCCTAAAGCTCAATGGCTGTGTGAGGAATGCAAGTTTGCTGAGGAAGCTGACAACCAGAAGCAAGGTAAAGCAAATTGAGTTATATTAGTTTTCTGAAAACAGATGCTAACATGCTGTTATTTGTGAAATGCACTGATTTTTTTTTTCGACATTTGAATTATTAAGGTTCAGATATGGAGGGAAAAAAAATGGATAAAGCCATTTTGAATACACAATTCTCTCATAAGAGACTAGCAGAAAATATAGAAGTAGCTCCTGCTGCGAAAAGGCAGGCTCTTGAAATTCGTGTGGGATCACCAAGGCCATCCAGCCCTAAGAGAATGGGTGCTCTATCACGTGAGTCTTCGTTCAAGAGCATAGATAAGGATAGATTGAGGTCAACTTATCAGAGCTCACAGTCCATTAATGATATATCAGAAACTGCACGCTCTCCTTCTAGTGGTATACGGCTTCAAACAACCAAGGGTGAGTAGTTATTGCTGCATGGTACATGCTCCATCTCTATCCTTCTCTTTTTATTGTATTGTAGTTCTTATGCTTTGTGATGTCTAGGTGGGGTTTCTTATTTTTCATATTAACATTTTTGTGGAGTTTT